AAAAATCTTGTAAGGTGGGAGCAGGCAGCCTGGCTCGTTTCACAAAAGGGCACCTGCACATTTTGTTTTGTATCTTCACTTCCAGGAAGCCTAGTGTTTTACCTTCTTCCCCCCCCTTCCTTTTTAAAGGAAAGCTTAGGGTTCAGGACCCCTGCTGCCTGTGGGTCTGGCGCATCTGTGCCTTCTGTTCCTACCTCTCAGCGGCACTGCATGAAACAATAATGTGATGGTTTTTTACTAGAGGAAACCGTGTTGGGGCAATTTGGAGCAGAGAAACTGCAGCAACTGTCCCACCTGCTGGTTGTTGTTGTTTTGTTCCAAATGCCCCACTCATCTCCTGAAACGACTTTGCCCCACACATAGTTTCATTGCTTTTTTAAAAAAGGGAAATGTTAAGAAAAGTAGCCACTGAGTTTTTGTTTTCTGTGTATGTGTGTAATGTGTAGTTACGCACACAGCCAGATATGCTGGCCATGGCTGAAGGGATATGGCATGTTTTCTCAATGGCCCAGTGTTTTCAAACATTATGAAATCATCCCAGAACTGCTGTTTTAAGCCTTTGAGAATTTATTTAACTCAGCTGATTTTTGGAACACTCCTTAATTTTACATTTATAATACTGGATCGACAAGCAGTTACTTTACAGCTAACGCAGTGAGAGATGCATTTTCTCATCTGTTTAATTTATTAAAAGCATTCCTCTTTCCTTCAGATAATTTAAACATGTGGGGTCTTGGGGGGACAGGTAATTGAACCTCCTCTCCAGGAGGAATATTAGAATATTTAGAATATTAAAGAAATCAAACAAGTTTGCATTAGGTGGTATCAATTTTCCCCATGCAATTTTTGCTGGCAAAAATGTTTTCCCCAACTTACTTTTGTATTTTGGGATTTAAAAACATTAAACGATGGTAACTGAGTTAAATAGAATGTTAGCTTTGCTTTTAGGAAGGATGTCACATGTCTTCTATTTTCCAACTAGTTTTAAAGGCACCCTTCCCCCTCTTAATTGCAAAGAATATTGCTGAATTAGTATTCTGAGCCACATGAAAACGCAGTGTGTGTGCTTCTCAATGTAGGCACTATTTGAGGCTATTTCTAAATGCATTCAGATGTTTGTCATCAGCAGCAGCGAAATGCATGCTTCCTTTTTTTTCCCCTCCCCCCAAAATGCCACTTGCTATTTTGTGGCTTCAGATGATCTGTTAGGAACATACTACATTTTGAAGTTCTGGGGTTCATTTTTGCTCTGCATTGAAGTTAAGTTCGTTCCATGGCCTGGCTTACCATTTTCAAAACTGAAGGGAATAAAGTAACATTTGATTGTTAGTTTCACATGCAGGGAGCATCTTGGGCTGGAGAGGCAACAAGTCCTTTACAAATGCTCTTCTGTTCAACATAAATTACCCATTTGGTCACATGCTGGAGAGTGATCCCACAAATATTTGAATTGTGGTATTTGTACAGAAGATCTGGATTTATTATAAGATGCTACTGTATTTAGTGCACCGATTTTTTAAAAAAACTTTTTTGCTATTTATAAAAGTTGGTGCAGTTACTTTAAATTGTTAGCCTTGGGCAAATAACAAAAAAGGTAAGTGTTATTGAAATAAAAACCAAGGAGAAGATTGTGTGAATTTGGTTTGGGCAGATCTCATGATAGGAGGTTCAATGTTTCCATCAAGTTCAGAAGGATTTTTGTAGTGTGCTAATAGTTAGTCTTTGCTGCTAGTACTGAATTTGTCAGCTTCGTTGATGTAATACCAGTCATGCCTTCCTGCAGCTATCATCTATCGTTCCTGTGTATAGAAACTACATTACACATGGATTTATTATGCGTGTGACCTGCTACACCCTAAATTTACCATCCATCTCAATGGAGATTAAATAAAGTCTAGTCCAGATTCCCAACAATTCCTATATAATGAGCATTGGAATGTGATCCACTTCAGCATGATTTCTCCAATGCTACTGTTTATGTTATGGTCTCATAGATACTAGCCAGCAATCTAGGGAAGTTATGAGCTGTGGAAGAAAACACAATCACTTGACTAAAATGTTTCTGACAGCCAAGATTCTACAGATTTCCAAGAGATGATGTGTGGGGTCTTGTCATGGATGCCACATTGCACTTCAGAGAGACTTGGCGTCCTTCCAGGACACAGTGTAATCACAGACTCATAGAATGCATGTCATAGAATCATAAAATTGTAAACTTGGAAGGGACCCAGAGGGTCATCTAGTCCAAACTCCTGCAATGTACAAATCTCAGCTAAAGCATCCATGGCAGATGGCCATCCAAGCTCTGCTTAAAAATCTCCAAGGGTAGAGTCCACAACATCCCTAGGAAGTCCATTCCACTGTCAAACAGCTCTTAGTATCAAAGGTCTTCCTGATGTTTAGTAGGCATCTCCTTTCTTGTAACTTGAATTCATTGGTTCAGGCCCTAGCCTCCAGAGCAGGAGAAAACAAGCTTGTCCATCTTCCATGTGACAGCCTTTTAGATATTTGAAGATGACTATCATATCTCCTCTCCTCTTTTCCAGGCTAACAATACCAAGTACCCTCAACCATTCCTTATGAGGCTTGGTTTCCAGATCTTTGGTCACCCTCCTCTGCACACATTCTAGCTTGTCAGTACCCAGGTGTGGTCTGAGATGCTTGCCATGGCAAGTGGAATGATCAAATCAGAGGACCCCTTCTAATAGCCGTTGGGAGGCAGCCAAAGTTGTCATGCCACTGCATGCGATATAAATTGATGCTGTAGCCTGTACAATTAATGGATGGCTGGAGGGACAGATTGCTGCCTCTACACTGCCCTTCATGCATTCAGAGCACTGTTTGTGCAGGGTTCTGAATGCACATTGATGTAAAAAGAGGAATAGCACAGGAGAAGCAAAGGAGGATTGGAAGGAGCCACTGCTCTCTTACTCCCACAACATACAAAAATATAAGGTCCTTCACACAGACCTTATTCTTCTGTCATAATGAAGAATCCAAAAGGCATACTTTGTGAGAGTAGGGAAAAAATGTTTGCTGCTTATAAATAAATAATAGTGAATGCAAAAGAAAAATCAAATGAGAATTAACGAAGTATTTGCTTGCTCAAGAACAGACCTCCCCATAAACAGAGTTTTCCAGTAAAATATACAGCTATCTTTCTCCTCTGGCACTAATAACTTCAATACAGTATGCATCTTTTAAAGTTCTGTTCTATTAAATGGGCGAGGGGGATCAGTAGGAATGAAGAAGCCTATTAAATACTGTGAAATAGGAAAGGAAAAAATGATTTTCTTGACCAAACAGTGTTCTACTGTATAGTCCATTTCCTCCTTGTGGTAAACCAGAGTAAAATGTATTGCATTCTTGGAAAATATTGAATGAGCTCACCGGTGTAGAGCCATGGCTCCTAAAACATATTTGAGGAATGAATCCATTTTTCATGAAACTTCATTGGAACTCTTCCATTCAGCTGAGCAAAAAATATCTGGAGGCCCATCTTGGAACTCCCCGATATTTAAAAAAAATCATTTTTATAATTATAATTTTTATTTACTTTTTAAAATCTAACAGTTTAATAATGTATAACACTTATAAACTCTCAATGTATAGAATATAAAAACAAATAAGAAACATTTCTAATGTGAGACCTCATAGTATTATATCTATGAAGAATCAAGTGTCAACAAAAGGAAGACAAAAAAGAAGAAAGAACATAAAGACATAAAAATCTATAAATGGAAAATAATACAATATTTCTCAAGTACATTCATCAGCATTATTTGAGTGGCAGTCATCTAGTGATAAATATTTAGAGATTCCAGCGAGTCTGGTGTAAGGATGATTATTAATGAACTAAATGCTTCCTTTATTGGATAATGAAGAACAGTATGTGTTTGTGTAAATGTGAGTGTGAGCAGGGAAAGGATTTGAAACCCAAAGCCTTTTTTCTATTGGGATCACTCTAGCCATATAGAGCTATATGCTGTGCGGGGAGGGGGGTGTTGATTATTATCTGGAAAGCTTGCATACATAATAAAGTTAAGCCAAATCTTTGCGAAATTGTCCATTTCTTTTTGTTCCCTCAACATCTGTAGTTTATGGGTTAGTTTTTTCAGTAGGCTGGTGTTCCATACACTTTTGATCAAAATTGTTATTGTCATCCTTTTCATTCATTTTTTACCTCTATGATGTATATGACTTTTTCCAAATAGGTGATTTTTTTCAATTAAATTTTTCAATTGAAGAAAATGCAATGATTGTGACGTGTCTGAAATGGACCTGTGCTCAACTGAAATCATGAATTTCCATTAACCTTCTTCAAGAATAGAAGAGAAATGGGAAATGGGACCATACAACATTAGAAGGGAAATAGGAATGTATAAATGGCAGGCAGTAGGAAGACTATGGATTAACCAGGCCAGGTGTAAATACCAGAAGCCTTGCCACCTTGACTTGTATGACAATAAAGCAACCATCCTGCACTTTAGGCTCCAGCATCTCCACATACTGCAAGATACAGTACAGTTAATGTCCTGATAATTAAAGTCCTATAATGTCCTGATAATTAAAGTCCTAAAATGTCCTGATAATTAAAGTCCTATAAATTCCCATGATATGTTCAGTGAAACGACTGGTTAAATTCCTACTCAAGCAAAACACTGATGACAAACCAAACTGAAAAGAAAGGCAAAATAAATGAATGAGAAACCCAGGTTCCTTTCCTAAGGCTTACCACCCCCCCACATCCCAAAGTGCAAGGGTTACTTTTTAGCCTGATCTCAAGGAGAGGAGAGGAGGAGATGAGCAAGGCATATTTTCTCACTTAATAAAAAGGCTCTGGTTAACAGAGAACTTTGGCTTCTAAAATGACACTGATTTCTAATGTTTGGATGAAGGAATAGGCGTATGGAAAACAAAAGCAGTAAAAGTTGTAAAGCCAACGTGGATTAAATATTGGGTTTTGTGTTGAATATGTTCCTCTCCTTTCTTTTCCCCAGAGGTGTGGAGAAATCTCATTCGATAGCCCAGAGCAGAGTGCCAAATGTGTTCGCATGCTAGGTAAGTGGAGTCCATTTTCTTTAATCTGGAGTTTGGTATGTGGAGAAATATGCACTGTTTTAATGAGGTGTTTCTTTTCAAAGAGTGTCTGCATTTTAATGAGGTTGGTTGGTAGCCATAATTCTTCTGGATGTATAGTTGGCTTTGGTGCAACTGGTATGAATAGTGAATGCATATGAGCACTAATTGATTATAATGAGCCCTCAGTTCACTTGTAGAAAGTTGTTGACAGAGTGATTTCTGACTGTTGGCTACAAAATCTAAATGCAGATTGTGACAAGACACTGCATAGCTGGAACTGCATCTATTTATTCATTTTTGCATCAACTTGCTTTTTTATTATTTTAACTAGGCAGCATAAAGAGTACTTAATTTTATCAGTTTTAATTCTGTTTAACAACAAACTGTTTTGTATCTAAAGCAGCTTAACTTTGACGGTCTGATGTGTGCTGATTTGAAGTGAGAAGTCAATTGAGACTGTTGTTAATTTGATATGAGGAGAGACAGTGTGGGCTGGTGCCTAATAGAACTGGTAGGATGAGAGGCCAACAGAAGGTGGAGCCAGAGCCACTGACAATCAGAGCCAACTAATTCTAGTTTTGCCCCTGCTGAGTTCTACAAGGGGCAAAACGGAAATTAAGGAGAAGGAAGTTGACAGCCAGTGAACTGGTTCTAGGTCAGAAGGCAGGCAAGTGGGGAACCTGGCTGAGGACAGAAAGAGGTTTGTACCTCATTCACCCTAATGCAGTGTTTCCCAACCGGTGTTCCGCGGCACACTACTGTGCCGTGAGACATTGGCTGGTGTGCCGTGGGAAGGAGACGGGCGAGTCGGGCGGTGAGAGGCGGCGGCGGCGAGGATCCGCGTCGAGCCGGGGGCGGCTCCGCGGTGGTGGTGCCGAGCGGCGGGGCAGCGTGTGCAAAAGGGAGGAGCGCGAGACAGCGGAGGAGGAGGAGGCCGGCATGTCCGGGCAGCAGCAGCAACAACAGCAGCAGCAACTCCCGGCGACGGCTCCTCAAGCCCCGCCGCCGCCCCCTCCTCCGCCCGCTATCGCCGCCACCACCACCACAGCCGCCGCCGCCTCAGTTGCCGCCGTCCCTCAGTCCCTCGCTCTGCTGCCTCCTCCCACCCCCAAAGCTTGGAGGTTCCCCGGCAAGGGGGAGGGAAAAAACTTTCACTTTCGTGCGTCCCTCCCGGCGTGACGCTGCGCGCTGACGTCACGGGGCGGGGCTTTAATGGTGGTGTGCCGCGAGATTTTTTTTCAGTAAACAGGTGTGCCGTTGCCCAAAAAAGTTTGGGAAACACTGCCCTAATGGACCAGCTTGCACTGGTGAGGAGGAAAGACCATGTGTGAAAACTTCAGTATTTAATTGTTTTATCCATGTTTTCAGACTTTCCAAATAGTCCAGGAATCTACAGTGGTACCTCGGGTTGCATACACTTCAGGTTACAGACTCCGCTAACCCAGAAATAGTGCTTCAGGTTAAGAACTTTGCTTCAGGATAAGAACAGAAATCGGGATCCAGCTGCGCGGCGGCAGCAGGAGGCCCCATTAGCTAAAGTGGTGCTTCAGGTTAAGAACAGTTTCAGGTTAAGAACAGACCTCCGGAACGAATTACCGTATTTTTCGCTCTATAACACGCACTCGACCATAACACACATGTAGTTTTTAGAGGAGGAAAATCCGTAGGCATGCCACCCGTAGGCATTCCCTCCATAACACGCACAGACATTTCCCCTTACTTTTTAGGAGGAAAAAAGTGAGTGTTATGGTGCAAAGAATACGGTAAGTACTTAACCCGAGGTACCACTGTATATTATATGCAATGTCAGAGAAGTGGCAGTGTGACAGAACAATCTTAGCACTTGATTCATGCTGCTGGCAGAGGTTATGATTCAGCAGAGGTCCACTCCCCCCCCCCCCCGCCCTACACTAACTGTATTGGCAGCGGTTGGGAAGGAGGGCAGAACCACCACAGTGACAGAAGTCCCTACAGCACCTCTTAAGATATGGGCTGTTGCCAAGCTGGTAATGAATTTTACCAGCGATAGCCATCACAAGACCCTGAAATGTATTTTAGGGATAGAGTAAGGTTGGCAATGGATCAGCTGAATCTAAACCAATCTGACTCACACCCTGCAATCATAATCTGCGACCCTTCTTTGTGCGCCTCCTCCATGAGAAAAGAAGGAACGACTCCCCACTTGTGGAATGCTCTCCCTAGGGAGGCTTCCCTGGCACCTTCCTCACATATCTTTAGGCTCCAGGCAAAAACATTTGCCTTCTCCCAGACCTCTGGTTAATTAAACAATCCATGGCCTTTTAAAATTGGGAAGGGTGGTGTAGAAATTTAATAAATAAATAAAGAATAAACCCACTCTATTTCCCTCAGAGGGGCATTTGAGGAGTTGGGGCAGCAATAAAGTGCTCTTGGGATCTACCCAATGCCTGTGAGATAGAAGTATCGTTGTAAATAAGCTGTAGATCACTGATGGTACGCTGGAGTGGTTTTAGCTGGGAGCTGTAGGTGACAGTACAGTGGTACCTCGGGTTACATACGCTTCAGGTTACAGACGCTTCAGGTTACAGACGCTTCAGGTTACAGACTCCGCTAACCCAGAAATATTACCTCGGGTTAAGAACTTTGCTTCAGGATGAGAACAGAAATCATGTTCTGGTGGCGCGGTGGTAGCAGGAGGCCCCATTAGCTAAAGTGGTGCTTCAGGTTAAGAACAGTTTCAGGTTAAGAACGGACCTCCAGAATGAATTAAGTACTTAACCCGAAGTACCACTGTATGTGGTGCACTGCTGCCATCCTTCTGGGTCTGCCCTGTAGACAATCATTCCTGAATATCTGGGTGAGCTAGTCAATCAGTTCCCCCCTCCCTATATTGGTTGCATATACATTGTGTGTAATTTGGCAATAAGTCTTCACGGTTCTCACAAAACAGTCCATACAGTTTTTCACAGAGAATAAGAGAACAGTGGTACAAATAACTCATTAATGGCATTGATAAAACTGTGGCCTTTAGTTCAAGTTGCTCTCTGTGATAAAGTGCAGCTGTACCATGCATTGTGTTCCACACAATTAATAATTTGTGTCCTTTAGTTAGAATAATTATTATCCTCCATTTGGGCATATTCATTATGTAACAGTTATGAGATTCTAATTTTGTTAATCAGCTCATTAGTTAACTGGTTACAACTACAGTCATACCTTGGAAGTCGAACGGAATTCGTTCCAGAAGTCCATTTGACTTCCAAAATGTTCGGAAACTAAAGCGCTGCTTCTGATTGGCTGCAGGAAGGTCCTGCAGCCAATCAGAAGCCACGGAAGCCCTGTCAGACGTTTGGCTTCTAAAAATAGTTGACAAACCAGAACAGTCACTTCCGGGTTTGCAGTGTTCAGGAGCCAAAACATTCAAGAACTAAGCTGTTCGAAAACCAAGGTACAACTGTAAAAGCAATTAATTGAGTATTTTTATAAAAAAAATTGCATGTGGAACACAGGTTCTAATAATGAATGCAGTAGCTGTAGTAGAGCCCTTAAAAATTTAAGCCAACTAACCTATCCCAGTAGCAAATTTTCTTCCATTCTGTCCTACCATGCCCAACCATACCTTCCTATACTTGTGTACTTTTCTATACTTCTTTGAATGAAAGGTCATTTCTGGGAAAAGGAAAGTCAGGCAACTTGGTCCTCCCTCCAGCTAAAAGCACCATGACTTACCTTATCTTCAGGTGCTACTTTTTAAATGCCAGCTTGGTAAATAGAAAGATTTCTGATGTCTTGGATTTGATCCTGGATGAGCACACCAACCTGATATGTTGTTGAAAGACAATGTGTTGGGATTAATATTTTCCAGTTATGACCACCAAGGTCCTTTTGTGTAGCATTCACAAAAACCAGGTAGGGGTGTGTGTGTGTGTGTGAAGAAGTGGTATGGCCATGACCTATTGAGATGATCCTCCGTGACCTGGTGCCACATCCAGCAATTGTCTAATTCTGAGTGTACAGTGGTACCTCTTGATTCTATAAGCAGGATTGGAATTTTATTTGCGGACCACTCAGCCCACTGCTTAACTCTCAATGCTGAAATTGATGGAGGTGGTCTTGGAGATAAGTCTTGGTGTCACAAATCTGATTGCCCTGGGATATGCAGCACTCCTCCTCACTTGGTTCATTTAAGCAGCACCTCAAAAAGGCTTGGTGTGGGAGTGTTTTTTTCTGGCATTGTTTCTGGGCTCTGGTGTGATTTAGTTATAAAATATTATTTTAGTATTTTAATGTTTATAGTTTTTTTTCCTGGCATTGATGATGTCAACCTTTGACATGTTTGTCAACTTCTCTGAGCGCCATATTTAGAGCAGAAGTTGTAGGGTGTAAGTGAACTACTAATAAACAGTAGAGCTGCCGGGGGTGGGGTGGGGACAGCAATTGATGGTGGAGGAACTGCATGATTGCTGCAGGTAGGCTTGAAAGTGTGGAACTAACAAAATGGAACCCAAGGTTTTAATTTAACTGTGATTGGGGACCCCCCCCGTATTATTCTTCAAGCTAATATACCTGTTTTTAACCCTGACAAATAATAATGATGACAACAACTGATTTATTACCTGTCCTTCATCAGCAGGTAGCAGGGTGGGTTACAACAGTTTAAAATTCAGTGTTAAAACAGACTTAAAACAAGTTACTGTCAGAGTAACATGGTAACCCAAGTTTAAGTTTTTGTCGATTTAAAAAAATAACCCTGCCTATGCAATGCATTCCACTATCCCCATATTGCTGTAGCTATTAAAGTGTTCCGCACATCTTGGCTTAGAAGTGCCATTTGCTGTTTGGCCTTGAAAAGCAAAATCTCTTGGCTAATCTTAATCTTCTCATCCTCCACAGCCTTATCCCTCTTATAATCTAGAAAACAGCAACAAAGCTTTTGCCTTTCATTAATAATAATAATAGTAATAATCTTATATCAAGCTCTTTTTTCCCATCTACTTTTC